TATACAGAACGCCACTTGCACTGTGTTATTTGCCGTTGATTGACGATTGAGTTGAAATAGGCGCTTTTAATGTCTCTGTATGTCCTAATAACGTGAGATAAAGGCTCAATGGGTTTTCGTCGCTCTTAATAATAAAGAATGGTAATTGTTTTTCTGGTCTTCCTATTGTGAGCCTGACATTTTGCGTCACATATTTACTAACTCCTTATATCCACCAATTGTTGCCTCCGATCTCTAATCGTTGAGGTAAGGATTCATCCGCTCACCCTCACAGCTAAAGGAACTCTCTCACAAAATGCATTCGAAAAACCTAAATATACTTTCATTCTACAATGAAAATGGCACACTAAGGCGGGGAAAATATTAGAGTTAGGAAGGTGGGTGCAAAGCCTAACGTTCTTGGACTCTTTTACTACATCATCGATACTCTTGTAAGCATTTCAAGTTGTCACCAAGTTATGTCGACTTCCCGATCAGGATACTAAAATGAGCAGATATTTACGCCGTTGAAAATATCAGCTACAAGTCTGTTCTCCATTATTACCACTTTTTTGATGTGATTTTTTCATCTGATAATTATGCTGTATAGCTATACCGAAAAGCTGAAAACATCAGTACAAACAATAGGAAAGACACTGCAGATTTGGGCGCTCACTCTGAATAGTCTCATTTACTTCCTTGGACAGAGTATTGAAATATTCCAAATTTTGCACGTTATGAATTCATAAACTAATGTGGATCTGAAATTGACAATTTGAGATAGAGATTTAATGAGACTAGGTCTAGGATGTACTTCTGCTCATCTTGAACATGAACAAATTCTCAAGTCATTATCGTGCAGAAAAATATCAGTAAAATTTCTGTAATGTCTTATTCCTAATTAAGAAGAGAAATATAATGTACATGGACAAGATTTCATACTTAAGAATGTAAGTTGGTTTTTTGCAAGCCCGGTAACTTTTTGGAAAAGATATGTTTCAGATATAAGCCTTCATTCAAAAATCACGCAAACGTTTAATAAGCCGGAAAACCTGAATTTTATGGTGATAGAGCATCAAAACTTTTAACCTATAGTAAAAGTGTATAGATTCTAGAAATAGGTGGTATAATTGTGAAAGGTTACTATGTGATAAGAGATGTTGGCTTGATGTTGACTTGATGTTGAATGCGGCTGTGATTTGCATTATGTAACTCAAAGTCTAGCCATATTGGACTCCAACTGTTGAAAAATAGAAAATGTTCCCACTTAGAACAATCACTTATCAGGCCGAGAATAAAAGTTCAAGAGATATATTAGAATCTATCAGTCGCTGATTTTCGCAAATGCCTTTTGAATAATTTGACGACAGAATGATGTATACACCGCATTACTATCTTTGTGACACTAAAGCTAAGAGAATGCAATTTTCAGCATGCGTAGGACAATATAGTTTACACGATTCTATTACTTTTCAAAAACAACAGAATGGCGTTGATGTCGTATTTCGACATTTATAGTATGTTTCCAAATAGAAAAGCAAGGAATTATTTAATTAAACGAATAAAGCAATAGAGAAACAACAAGAGGTATATAGGGACAAATCAAAAGTCAACGGAGAAACTATAGATCTCGGGTAATATTTAAGGACCCTATTCTGTGTATATGTTTCCTTTGTAAACGATATCGTTCACAACAGAAATTCAAATTGTGAGTTTTCAAGAAGTTCAGCCAAAACAACATATTCTACTATAACAATATTTTTGCGGAACTCTCATGTATGGCTGTATTTCTGTTTTCGTTGAAGTAAAATTAGCGTAGAGGAAGGGAAGAACACTCCGGTACTAAATATTCTCTTGCACAGTCATAATGTGGTCCTCTTCACTCTAGAAAAAAAAATGAGAGATGTAGAAGACGTGGTGACGGCGAATGTGAGTGATAATTTCAGTTCTGAATAAATATTTGCTGAAAAAAAATCCTATAAAATTGAAATTGCTTGAAAAAAAATTGAAAAAAATAAAAAATGGAAAAAAGAAAAACCAAAATGTGATAATAACCGCTGGAATTGGGCGGATAGGTCATAGACAGTGATGCCATTGAGCATGCTGATTCTAATCCACATTGAATTCATCAACTCTGCCAACCCACTAGCGTCCATATATGGTGCGAGACTTGTCTGGGAGGAACTTCGCGCGATTACAAAGGCAAGTGAGAACTAGTGGGTGACAAACTGGTGATGATTAGCACAGTCAGCGCAGGATTTCAAGAAGAATTCATAAGCAGTTGATGACAAGAGAGACGAAAATCTTCACGCAGCAGCAGCAGCAGCATCCACGCACAAAAGTTTTAAGGCTTTTGTTGATGATGTATGTAAGTAAACCAACAGAATGAATTAATACTAGGTTTCGCGCGGATCTGAAGAGGGGTTATGATAGTAAATTAGTTGAACAACTAATGTCCGTACGGATTCATACATTGAGCAATGTCATATCTTTCTGTTGGGCAAGTGTCCACTTGTTAAACCATTTCATTGCCCAAAATAAAGTTTCATCGAAAGACAAAGGCTCACAAAAAGTGTTACTTCACTGTGGTAGAAAACGAAAAGGTGTTCCTTACTCGATAAGTCTGCAAGCTCTTTCAACTTCAACTCAATTAATAAGGTTCTTTAGAGTTGGAACTGCCTTACTTAAAGTCGAAGTTTATTCGGAATGTCGTGAATATATGCGAAAAACAACTCGGTAATTCAGCTTTATTTGGGCTCTAACAACTTCCGCTCAATGGATGTCATTAAGGGCTGCTCATTCTCGGCTCACTCTATTCTCAACATTTTGGCGAATTCGTCAAAGCCGAAATCATTGCCCTCGATCTTTGATCATTAACATAGGTGTAGAAACGTTAGACACCTGATCCGGTTCATTTTGGGATACTCATGGTGTTTCCACCTCAACTGTTAGTTTGATGGCACTTTTTTTTCGCTATTCTGTCGACATGCCATTTAGACTATTCAACCATGCGATTGGGAAACAGAGCAGAATTGTTGATGTAAGAACAGAAGCTGGGTTGTGTCATCTTCTCTGAGCATTTAATGCAGCTCCTTGATGCGTTCAATTCGTCTCTGCAGCAGCAGTATCCATTACGATAACGTAACAATTTGGATACAAACATTTGGGTTATCAGACAAATTCCTTCAGCGAAAATGTGGCAATAGAAAAGGAACTGTCGCGTGGATGTCTAGTTCTAGTCTGATTGATATTGCCACTCACATCGTGGTTAGTATTCATTCGCTTCCTTCTAAACTTCCTCCCACCTCTCCACAAATGAGGTGTGTATTGTAGAAAGAATATTACCAACAAGGAAAAAGTGGTCCAGTAGCGAACTAAGAACCTTTTCTCTAAAGCTAACCTATTTCAGGTTCCGACTGAAGCCCTCGTAAAAATTCTTATCGATCGGCTGTCAATATGCCTGTTAGCCATTTCTGAGCCATGCATGTAGACTGTTATGGGCATTTATACAAAGCTATACACGTGTTTCGGTGTTGAACAGCCTCGTCATTAGCTCAATAACCTTCGTCTTAGCCATTCCTCTCGGGGAGATCCAACCATTTATATAGAGAAGGCACAGACTGACTAATCACACGTGCCATTATCTGAAAGAAATCACTAAATGGGCGGCGTCGTACACTCGTTTGGCTAAGACGAAGTTCACTATGCTATTGGCGAGGCTGTGCAAGGCCGAAACACGTTTATAGCACTGTATAGATGCCCATAACAGACCACATGCATGACTCAAAAAAACTATCAGGCATATTAAAATTCGAGCGCAGTATAAAGTAACACTCAAAGCGAAAAATGTAACTTTGTCGAACACAAGCCACAAAAATAGGGCTACTTCCTTTTGACGTGGAAGCGCTTGAATACTTATATCTCAAGTTTGTATACGGAAGCGGACACCATTATTTTCCAATAAAATTTTTTCCAGAAAGCCTCTGAACCTTCAGAAAGACAAAAATACTTTAAATTCACAAATGAAATCGCAGAACCACTGTTAGTGAATGGTGCACAGAAACAAATGGAATCGACGTGGTGTGATTCGCAAAAGATGTGATGTTGAATTGTGTAATATAGTGAAGTATTACTGTAAAGTTGTAAGATTTGCAACTAAGTTTTGCGAACTCATTCAACATTGTGATGATAAGCAAATTTTATGCGGTCACTGTCGGTGTTCAGCGGGAATAGACCAAAAGAATCTTTTAAGCATTTCGCGGAGTGAATTTTCATCAACGAATTGTCACACCGACTATATTGAGACCAGAAATTGAAATTCACAGTGAGCACTTCCGTACAAAAGAAATACTGCATGGAGATGAGCATTTTTAGAAAAGTCTCAAATAAACTGCATGACTTAGAGTCACTATTGTCCAACGTCTTTTCCAAGGGGGTCATTTTTAAGGAAAAACAAGTAACATTTCAAAGCCCGCTCAAATGAAATAGATAAAAAAATTTTGCAATAGAAGAGGTAAAATTTTAACAATTAAAAAGCCTTATTTCAAAATTTCTGATAGAGAATTCGTGGATTGTCTTATGGTCATGATTATGGATAAAAGTAGAAAGTTTGAACTGTTTCGTGCTAACTCATCTCTTAGATACGCGCCGTCCACTCATCATATACGCGAAAACCTGAATATGTGACCAACAAAACGACTCGCGGGGCTTACGGATTGCTTAAATGGTATTATCACGATCACAGAAGTTCAGTAAGAATATGCTGATTCTGGTGGGATGGTGAGATTGGTTTGAAGAATGATCTAACAACCGCATGTGCTCTGCTGCCACCTTATCCACTGAATATATTAGTAAGTTATCGAATTCAGGTAACATTGTTTGTACCTTACTTTTGACTTGTTATGCAGGCAAATTTAGGTCAAAATATCTAAGTACATTCCAAAATTCTAGTGTTTTTACTGCATTTGTCGCAATGTTACGATGTTTCATATATCACCTAAGAGCTTTGAGTGGTGAGCAAATACAACTCAGACAGGAGTCGAACCCGCGTTTCATCCATATGGGGACGCGTGCTACCACTACACCACCGAAGTATATTAGCGCCACCACTCATTCTTCAATATCTCTATGATAGCTGTCACCCATCAAATTTTAACAGGTTTGTTCGGTTATGCGATTTCGCTTCATAGACCTAGTTGAGCTGACAGCCATTGTGATAAGTAATACTCGAGATGTCCAATGTCAAACGTCTCCGATATGGATAAAACGCGGAAACGACTCCCGTCTGAAGTCGTATTTTTGTTCGCTACTCAATTCTCTAGGCAGATTAATTTGAGAAAAATCCTTAGTATGTGGCTACACTCTTCAAAGAATAAATCTCAACGACTTTAAAGATAAAAAGGTCACAGAACCCTCTAAGAGTAAACACAAATTGCGTTATAGCAGTAATATGAAACGAAATGAAAGCCAGTACCTATTGAACGATATAAAAAAACCTATCATACGATCGTAACACAAAAAAAGCTTGAAATATTTTCAACACGGAGAGAAAGTTCCTAATTAAGCAGTGAAAATTGCACTATTCAAAGTGGCGCTGAAGTTGCTTCTTAGCACGATTTGAGAGAGCTCGTAGTTTTCGTTACTCATTTGAAAACTCCTTCTCCGTTTCGAGTAAAATTCTCAGATTTCCCAGCATTCTGTTAGAGCGCGATTTTGTCTGGACGACCATATGTTCTTGGTGCTTACCTGTCCGAGTGTTGACGTGAAATTTTTTTCGGTGGATGAAGATCTTTGCAAAAACCAAACTTTATTTCAAATCATCGTTTTTAAGCTATCAAATAAGTACTTAAATTGTGATAGAATCACGATCTTCTTTCGGCTGCTATAACGCAATGTAAAAGCTTTCTCACAAATCAATTACACAATTGAAATCGCAGAGTCCATCCTTTGATACCCATTGAAACTTAAAAAAAAGGAAAAGAGCCCGTCCCAAAAGGATCAAATATGGAACGAATGAGAAAAGCTGCCTTGTTAGCTATTACAATAACCAACCTCAAAGCATAGAAAGGACAGAGACGGGTGTTTCAGACATCCTTTACTACGCTGGAATGACGGAGTAATTGGTATGATTAGGGGATTATCCTTCATGAAGTAGAATGAGTGGATGTTGTCAAAGAAATGCGTCGCTACTAGGACTATATCGATTAGGAAAAACTCTTCCAGGGATTTCCTGCTTTATCAAAATGCCAAGAAACCCATAATGAGTTTAAATGGATATTTTGATGTAAACACGATGAAGCTCACTACACTAAGATCTTTTATTTGAACTTGTCATTTGTCAGCCGAACATAGTTGTATCGAGATGGTCAAGACAGATGTTTGTCGTATTTTAGCAAAAACATTCACCTAGACTTGTGAATCAAAAGAACTTCTTTTGTGCTGCAGAAAGGTTATTTCCAGATTGTCGTCGCGTCTTGTGATTAAAAGGATTACTACGACTGGTTGAACGAAAAGCCTAACAATGATGATCTGACCAGCACATGTGAACGTAGGCAGTGAAACACTGCCAGTAGAACCTTCGTAATCTAAACTATGAAAATTTCATAGTTTGTCCATTGATGCGGAATATATTTTTCTGCTGTGTTTTCAAATATTCTTTCCATCTGCCTAACCACTATGCTTTACACGTGCTTATCGAGATAAAACACTGTCGTTAATTTTGATTCACCAATGTCAGAACCCAATGATTTGAAAAAGCAGGTTCCTGAAGGTATCTTGCTTGTCTTTCTCGTTGAGCTGAGGGTAACCTCCGAATTGTTAATCAAACGAGAGTGAAGTGCCTCTGCAAAGGTAACGTACTGCTCTGCAGCGACATATGTAGAGTGAGTAATAACAGCAGAATATTCAAAGGGCATGACAGGCTCAAAGATGCAAATTATGTAAACTACACCAGAGGTAAGAGTCATAGAACAATGATATCGAAACCTTTGCGGGTGCAAAGTTATACTTTTTGTTTTGTTCAATGAATAATGCCGAGCTACGATTCTATATGTTGAGGAATTGAACGTATTATTGAGAAATTCAGTAGAGATCTCTTTTTGATATCAATCAATGCACTATGTCTCACTATTATTACTAGAAACTCGCCGCAAGAGATATCCTCTCCAAGATTTTGAGCTGACATTAGACGCTCGACGTTAACTACGGCTCATAAATCAAGTATTACGAGAGTTTTTACGGGATAATCAAGTACACGCTTTTTTATAACTACAGATAACGTCATGACTGTAGATGACTAAGTTATCCACCTAGTAAAAGCATCGCATACTGAACTTCGTACAAAAATGAGATCAGTGATGACATCACTACTACTGCCCAAAAGCGAACGTAGGAATGTTAATTGAGGTCGAACTTATAGGAGCTAGGACATATTGTGGTGGGTGGCTTAAAGAAGCACCCGGGGATTGAAAAATTTACCTGAAAGCACATATGAGCACCACCCATTTCAGCTCCATTATTAAGGCGCGTTTATCATTCGATCACGATTTTACATTGTGATCAAACGTCGATGGGATATCCTCATCGTTTGAAAAGTCATCATACATATTCTCTCTCACGTTGTTGTCACATAAGGTCGTATTATTAATGTGTATATACTGTTGTATCATTGCTATCGTGATGTTTATATTCTCTTCTAGGACTCCTTGCGTAAAGTACTATTTACTGCCCATGATATTACCATCATTAAGACCCGAGTGGCAACAGCTGATTAATCTACATACATCGAACCACGTACAGCATACAGCTCACAGCGCATGAAGCAACGCGACATCCCATAGGACAAACGTCACAACGCATGCATTCTCTAACGGAATTGCTACAATTTGGTGCACTGACTGAGCTGAGCAAGCTACTGAACTGCTTCAAGGGTGGCCGAAGGGTTTTTCGTGATAATCGTGCGATTTGCTTGCAAGTGTACTTTGCAAACTCTTTTAGCAGATCATCTTTTCGTGCATATCAACAACTTAGGATGAGACAGAACCAGCCAAGCAAACAGGATATTGACAGGGATTCTGTTATCTGACAGGATGACATTCTGACAGGATGTTATGTGGAGTACATCTAAATCGTGTCGAGGGTTATAAAAGTCTTCCGGGAACACCGCGTGCTTTTAGCCTTAACTTTTGTCGACTATGAAAAAGCATGTGGTAGTGTCGAAACGGACGCAGTCCTATCAGCAGTTTCGAGCAAGGAGTAGATCTGTACTGCATAAGAGCTCTATCAGAATTTTATCGCAACTGCATCATGAAAATACAGCTCTTTCATCGACCATTTACCATATCCATCGATAAAAAGGTTCGACAAGGTGACACTATGTCTGCAATATGACAGTATGTTCTAAGCATTATATGAGGTCTGGTATGGCACTCATAAAGTACTAGAAGAAGTACTAAACCGAAAGGTACCTCAACTCCGATCAGCTTGGAAAGGCAGAACAGACCTGTCTAGTACTGTATAAGTGCCACACCAGAGCTCATGAGAAGCTCAAAACATCGAAACATGTCATTACATTATCGGATTGACATTGTTTTTGAGTGAGGTCTACAAAAGCAGTCGACTGAAGAGGTATATCCGCAAGTCCTTGAAAGTCAACCAGAAATTCTTGAAAATTAAACGTAAGACCTCAGTAACTAAACTTAATCCTTCGAGAATTAGCCATAAATCCTCAAAAATTAATCGTAATTTTTGAAATTTGACCTCAAATTGTGACGATCTGATGCCTTGAGGCCTTATGAGGTGTAGTATGGCACTTATACAGTCCTATATCTCTAAGGCTGTTCACCGCCGCCACTGCTGCGGATAATGGAGACTTCCTATTGAGGCGACAAGGGAATACGCATTGATGAAGAATACCTATTAACCATCGCTCGCATAGGTCATCGTCATATTCTCGAATAGCATCAGTGAAGCATAGGCGATGCTCAAAGAGTTCAACGAAGCGGAAAAGAAGATTGAACTACGCATAAAACGCATGAAGACTCAGTTCACGAAAACCGATAGCATAGTGGTAAACAAATCGAACTAGTTGGTTTTGCGATGACGAAAATCATCTTCAACGTGAAGAAGGACTTTAACAAAAGAAGGAGGACAGCATGGATCGCATTCGAGCCTCTCAAAGAAGCCACCGACCAGTCAACTTATTCAAAACTGCATGTTAACCTTTTCGAATCAGCAGTCCGCTCAGACTAGCACGAGCATTTCACGGAACAGAAGGCAGATGGACAAAACGAACTGTGGAATGAACTCCATGAGAACACACCCGTCTCCGAGGGTGACCATTGGAGTAATTTTCGGTGAGAAGAATTAATCAGCTGCACTCGAGATGCCGATGTTCTACAATTTACGGTATAAACTCGCGCTAGGCGCTATGCTCGAATTTGACCATCACCATGGACGACATTCACATGAAGAAACGACTGGAAAATGTGTTGAAGTCTGCACGATTCATGAAAACTGAGAGTCCAAATATTCATGAATTATGAATGTTGTGAAAGCTGGTCGAGTTGAATCTTCTATCAATCTTTAGAATAACGGCAGGGTATGTCCGGCGTTCAAATGAATAATCGCAAGAAACTTATAGAAGAGAGCGTCGGACCAGCACCTTGCATATCACCTTGTTTCTCGTTGCACTGTATCACCAATTACTCTGTTATTCCGCCCCAGTAATTGCATGGAAAGAGTGAAAACATCTGATGCCCTTACAGTTTCTTCACAACCACATAATAGTAAGCCAAGTGTAACAGTCGCAAAATACATAGCGTTTTGCGTTTTGCTAATTTTTCCAATTCGAGATCTTCAAAATTAAATAAGAGCATATATTGAACTGAGCAAGCCCTGGATGCTAATTCCAAAAGTTTTCAAGGTCATTCAAAAATGATTCATGTTCAGTTGAGCGAATAATCCTCTTTACTCATATCTTGTAATCTGTTAGCTGCGATATGGTTTTCATGAAATTTGGCAAGCAATTATTCGCATCACCTTCAACTATGTTGAAAAGTGAGCCATATGGGCCGACACCAGCAGCTTTAATCGC